ACCAAATATTATTATTATTATACAGTATTTATATAGCACCAACAGTTCGCTCAGCGCTGTACATTTCAATGGGAGACAGAATATGCGACAGTACAATAACAATACAAAGCGATACACGAGGGGTTCGAGGGCCCTGCTCCTTGGAGCTTACAATCTAGGAGGGAGGGGATAGTGGTACAGGAGGAAATAGCTGTGGGGGATGGAGTAGTAGGAAGAGTGGAGGAGGTCGGGAATTAGCAGGGGGTGGGGTAACCTCCATCAAATTAAAAGAATCTCTAAACAAATCCAATACAACTGAAGCCAATTCTCCCTCATTATTAGCTGCTAGAGAAAAACTCAGCTCCCTCTTATTATATCAATATGACTTTAATTTAAAAAAATTAAAGCCAAATTTTACTCCCTAAGTAATAAGGCAGGCGCACTCTTGGCCAGATCAGTCAAACAACAACGCCTCAAAACCAAAATACATACAATTAGATCTTCTAAGTCCTATTCCCTAGTCTTGAATCCACTTGATATAGCTAATTCTTTTACAGATTTTTATCAATCCCTCTATAATCTAAAAGACAATAGAGACACTCCACAACCATCCCCGGAAGCCATACAAGCTTTCTTACACTCGATTACAATTCCAGCCCTGTCTACTTCTCAATTACAAAATATTTCACAACCCTTTCATCCAAAAGAAATTGAAGCGGTAATGAAAACACTTCCCCTTAACAAATCCCCTGGAAGTGATGGTTTCACAAACTAATATTATAAAGAATTTCCCACTATTCTTGCTCCACACTTAACTAAACTCTTCAACTCCGCTGCCTCCTCAGGTCAAATGCCAAAAGAGATGCTACAATCTATTATCACGACAATTCCAAAACCAGGTAAGGACCCACAATTAGTACAAAATTACAGACCTATATCTCTAATTAATACAGATATCAAACTATATGCCAAAACACTAGCCCGCAGACTACTCCCACTCATCCCATTCCTAATACACCCAGATCAGGTGGGTTTCTTGCCAGGCCATCAGGCTCCTGATGCCACTAGATGCTTGATCCCCTTAATCCAGGATTTACAAGATCGTTGAACAGCTTTTCTGCTCCTATCTTTGGACTGCATTCACTGGGGTTTTATACGAGCAGTTTTACAAAAACTTGTAATAATAGGATGGATTCAAATGGCCATCATGTCACTTTACTCCTCCCCTTCCGTCAGAATACCTATCGACGGTATGCTCTCAAGACCATTTGACTGCACATATGGTACCCGACAAGGCTGCCCATTGTCCCCAATAATATTCGCCTTACTCATTGAACCCTTAGCCATAAAAATCCAAAATGACCCACATTGCTCAGGTATTACTTTCCATGGTAATGAACATAAAATCAGTCTTTTTGCTTACGATATCATATTAATGATTACTAAACCTGCCCATTCATTACATAGAATCAGATAAATTCTACAATGATGTATCTTACTACAAACTCAACTAAAATAAATCATTAATCTTAAACTTACACCAAAAAGTTCCCAAAAAAGCAGTTTTTCATGTTTCATCTGGGAATTTGAAATTACCTAGATGCACCAGTAACCTGTTAATTGATCCCTACCATAGAGGAGGAGCCAACCTCCCACACATACACAGTCACTATCTAGCGGCACTCCTTGACCAGATTTACTATTGATGGGATCCAACTAAGGAAAAAAATGACTAATGTGGAACTTCAACTGTTCCACCCATTCACTCCACAGTCCCTTCCCCCCCCCCCTCCCACTCTATCTCTCCCAAACACCTCCACACACACACCCAAATTCCCTTGCACTGTAAATGTACCTCTACAACTGCACTCCTGCCTCCTTGAAAAAAACAAATATCCAGGCAAAGGAATATCAGTATTTTACGCTCTCTTACCCATTCCAAATCATCTTCTCTAAAAAAAACTGGGAGTTCCATTTACCCCAACCCACCTCAGAGCTGCAGATGTGGCATACAGCCTTTAAAAAGGACATATAAAGCATTCCACTGTGCATCCCACTGGAATCGTATCTTAAGTTATTGCAACAGTGGTATCTGACTCCAAATTGTACCCTACTCACTGTCCACTGTGTTGGAGGCAGTGTGGAGAAATAGGTCCTCTCTTCCACAAAATTTGGTCCTGTAAGTCACTCATATCCTTCTGGGATAATATTTTCAAAGTGATTTCTGAAAAAGTAGGTAGCATAGTGAAACCAGACCCAGCTTTAGCTCTGTTCCTTATTGGTCTGGACATGTTACCCTTAGATACATGGGTAGTGATTATCCACATTCTATATGCAGCAAAGAACAATATAACCAGACTATGGAAATTGATGGTGACACCATCTCCTTCTAGTGTGATTCAAGATCTAAACACCCAATGTAACATGGAAAGAAGCTTTTCAATCACACACTCCCCCAACCTCAAATATCGTATCTCTTGGCTTCATGGTTAAGTAACATTAGATGTAAAGTTCAAATTTGTAAAGTTCCAATACCTGGAGTATAACCTGAATACATTGACTGGTCTAGTTAATTTGCTATTCCTAAACTCCCTGTTTCCCTGTCCTTCCCCACCCTTCCCTATATCCTCCCAGTTTCCCTGTGGTTCTCAGTATGCACGATTGCAGTAATTATACCTTCAACTAATGGGTCTTCTTCTTAGACCAAAATTGTACAGTTTGTATAATGAGCACTGCTTCAAGTTGCTTGTACAACTGTGAACCTTTATTGTTATATTACTAGAAAATTCAGTAAAAACAGTTGATATATTAAAAAATCTAATTTCATCATAAATTTATGCCAAAAATGTATTCTGCTACATGTCTTTGCAAAAAAAAAAAAAAAAATCCCAATATGTGTTTTAAATTAAACCACTTGCCCTCCAGAGGATTTACCCCCCTTCCTGACCAGGTCATTGTTTGCTGTTCGGCACTGCTCTATTTCAACTGGTAATTGCATGGTCATGCAATGCTCTACCCAAACTAAATTTCTGTCCTTTTTTCACACAAATAGAGCTTTCTTTTGATGGTATTTGATCACCTCTGCGGTTTTTAATTTTTGCGCTACAAAAAAAAAAACACTTCAAATTTTGAAAATAAAACAATATTTTTCACTTTTGGGTTTTAAAAAAACCCAAACTCAAAATTAGTCATACATTTAGGCTAAAATGTATTCTGCTACATGTTTTTGGTAAAACAAAATCTCAATACATGTATATTAATTGGTTTGTTGGAAAGTTATAGCATCTACAAAATATGGTATACATATTGGAATTTACGTAGCTTTTACTTTAGGACTGCCTGTCACATTTCTTGAGGTGCTAAAATTCCAGGACAGTACAACCCCCCCCCCTCCCCAAAATGACCCCTTTTTGGAAAGTAGACACCCCAAGTATTTTACACAGAGGCATTTTGAGTCCATGGAACATTTTATTTTTTGCCACACATTTTTTGAATATGACAATTTTTTGTTTCACACATAGCTGTCACTTTAATGATATATTGGGTCATTTGGAGGGGGTTGCTTCTACTATCCTGGCATTTCAGGGCCAACATTAGAAGCTTATGGCACACATCACCCACTCATGAAGACCAAGCCTTTTTCTGACACTTTTTGTTCACATGAAAAGACAGTCTTTTTGCTAGAAAATTACTTTGAACCCCAAAACATTATATATATTTTTAAAGCAGAGGGCCTATAGAATAAAATGGTGGGTGTTGAAATTTTTTTACACCACACAGTATTTGCGCAGTGATTTTTCAAATGCAAATCTTTTGGGAAAAATACACTTTTTAGAATTTTAATGCACAAAAACACAATATATTGCCAAATTGTTTGATAAAATATAAAAGATGATGTTACGCTGAGTAAACAGATACCAAACATGACATGCCTTAAAATTGCAATGGCAACAAATTACATACATTTTTATTATCAATAGGCAACGCTTTAAAAGCCTTTACAGGTCATCAATTTATATTTACAGAGGAGGTCTAGTGCTAGAATTACTGCCTTTGCCTTCGATCTGATGTTTGCGGTGATACCGCACATGCATGGTGCAGTTGCTGTTTACACACCGGCACGGGGTTAAATGTGCTAATTTAACGTGTGTGTAAAATGTAGTGGTGCTTCTACTTGGTGTGGTGTTGTCACTTCTCTCCCTGGAGGGGGGGTCATCGGGGGGCGCAGGTGCGTTCACACTCCAAAATAGGAAGCGACGCAAGATTACGTCGCTTTGCCAAGAGCTGCTGCTCGCCCGCAAAATGCAGGTAAGCGGTTGGCAAGTAGTTAAAAAAAAAACTCAAATTTGTTTTTTTTTTTTTTTAAATTCTCAATATTTTTTTTTTTTACTAATACTTTTATCAGAATAGTACAATGTCACCATAGTAACACTGTACTACTGTGGGGGTGATCATGGATTTTTTTTTTTTACACTTTGCTTTGCAGGAGAAATAAAGATCATTTATCCTGCAATGCAAAGCTTGCTGCCAGAACCAAACTCATTCATGTACTGTCTTGAATGAGTTAAGTTTTGACAGCTCAGGATAGTGATCTGTGATCAGCTGGAACTGGTCACATGGTACAGAGTGCTGTGATTGGCAGCATGTATCATGTGACAGCTCTGGGCCAATCACAGCTCACTAGGGAAGAGAAGCAGAGCTGTTATGAATGAGATTGATTCATAACAGCTTTGCTTGAATGCGATCACATGATCACTGGGTCCCGTTCACTGGGATCTTCATTCCGCTGTGTCCGCTGGACACAGCAGTTGTGAGGGGGGAGCGCCCCCTGTGTTAGTACAGCCAGAGCGACGTACAGGTATGTCACTTGCCTGTAGCTCCTGCTCTGCCTTAGTACATTGTGGGTGGGCGGGAAGTGGTTAACTGGCTTATGTGAAAGTTATTGCGTCTACAAATGGTGGTATAGATATTAGGATTTTTATTTAAATTTTTTTATACTAGTTATGGCAGCAATCAGCGACTTAAAGCAGGACTGCGGTGGGCTTTCTGACACTGGGTGGGAACTGACTAACTGCCACTGACATCCCCAGTGACACTAATACAGTGATCAGTGCTAATAAACTGCACTGCCACTGTACTACTGCCACTGGGCAGGAAGGGGTTAACAACCTGGGTGATCAAATGGTTAATTGTGTGCTGTGTGTGTTTCATATTATGTGCTGTGTGTGTTTTACAATGGACACGTGCTGCTTTGTATTTCTCTGCTGTGCAGAGAAATACAAAGCAGCATGTCCTTGCTGACAGGAGAGAGACCTGTGTTGTTTAGACACAGGTCTCTCCCCTGTCAGCTTTCCCCGATGATCACCGAGTGCTGGCGGGGACCTAGTGATTGACATCTCTAGCCACCAATAGTGGCATGGGTAGAATGCCGCACGTGCTCATGCCCCCAACCCAGAAATGCAAATCACATATATATGCATGCTTTTGCACAGCTCTGCAGCCCCGTAGCAGTACTTCTACTATAGGGCAGCGGGGGTAAGCAGTTAAAATTGACACTTAAAATAATACACTTACTTGTCCTGGTGTCATTCAGTCCAGATATCATACACAACAGCTTAATTGTTATAGGAACACCCTCGCTCTGCTTTGATCTTTTTTGCTATCTATGTGATTACCTCATTTGTTTCTACATTGTTTCACTTCTATCCAAAACATTGTTATTTTGACTCATATGACAGTGCTTTAAGTTTTCTAAATACTTTACATGTATTTCAATTCCCTTAATAATCAAAAATGCATGCTAAAGAGAAACCAGATATATAACAAAAATAAAGTACATCTGTGGATTGTATATCCCTTACAGGGAACCAAATTACATCTGACATTCTTTCCTAAGGTATATAGCAAATAAAAATGCTAATAATAGAGGCAAGTGATGAGTGTGTGTTCCTTAAATTTATAACTCATATTTGAAGCCGACCTGCTTTCTCTTAAGTGAAATACCTACTAATCATACTTTCAGCAAGGGATCCCCACGCTGACATTTTAATTATGGCACTATTCTTTTCCAGGCTTGCTGTTTTAATAAAGGGCCTTTCGGTTGCTTTAAATCTAAAATTAATTAAGTCAATGTACTCCTTGGTAGCATATGGATCATAGACAATGGACAAAAATGATCCTGGAAAATGTACAGTGTGTTAGGAAGTTGTTTGACAAGGAAAATGACAATAAGCCTGCAGCAGAAAGGCTTTCCGTCAGAGAATTTGCAGGTATTGCTTTGTTGATTTGTATGGTATTACAGAGAAAGGCAAACTGCCATAAAGAAAGGTTTGCTTTTTTTTTCTCAAGATGGGCAAACATTATTTTCATCATCCCTGAAAGTGGTAATAAAGGTAATGACCTGAATTAGGAACACTTTAAACTAACAGCAATTGGAGAATAAGGTAACTAATAGCCAAAGAAAAAGGTTAGATAGCGCTAGAGTTTGTCTAATGTATTAGGTCCTCTTTATACTTCTACAATGCTACTTGAGGTTATTAGTAAGTATTCAGATATACCAACCCTTAACTGAAGGTGTAATTATTGGATCAAAAGTTTAGTAGAGCATGGAAATATATATAGGTAAGTATACTGTACATATGGAAAAAAGGTAGGTAGATATAGATAGATAGATAGATAGATAGATAGATAGATAGATAGATAGAAACAGAAAAATAGATAGATAGATAGATAGATAGATAGATAGATAGATAGATAGATAGATAGATAGATAGATAGATAGATAGATAGATAGATAGATAGAGAAACAGAAAAATAATAGACAGATAGATAGAAAAAAATAGATAGAGATAGAGAAACAGAAAAATTGACAGACAGATAGATAGATAGATAGATAGATAGATAGATAGATAGATAGACAGACAGGTAGATAGATAGATAGATAGATAGATAAAATATAGATAGATAGATAGATAGATAGATAGAAACAGATAATAAAATAGATAGATAGATAGATAGATAGATAGATAGATAGATAGATAGGATGCATTTATTCACTTATACATATATAATGATTTTTTGTGGATCTTTGGAATTCAATCTATTATATAAGCCAGCAGTGGCCAACTATATGAAGCATTTGTTAGAATTCCCTTAGCAAAAATGAATGCGCTTTTAATAGACCTTTTATAAAATTATGCTTCAGAGAGAGACCTCAGATCAATACACTCTTTAAAATTTTATCCTAATAAGTTATGGCAGTTGCTAGACCACATTCAGATTTATACACACATAACTGCTTAGATCTTTCTCTTAGCTCCTGTTGTTCATTTAAGTGATTTTATGATTATTTTTCAAAAACAACACATAGAATTTCTTATATGACGTAAAGGTTAAAAGAAGTATCAGTCCTTTACTGTAATGTTTTAAGCCCCCAGAACAATGAACGCGTTTATAGATGTGTTCTGTTAGCTGTTTCTAAATGTCAAATATAAGAAAGTTAATGATAAGCTTGCACTCTAATTAGAACTGTAATTACCAATGAATATGTAATATTAATGAAAAGTAAAAAACCTTAGGTTTAGAATACAGTAATATTGAATGTGTTTTTTTTTAATTCAATGGGGAATTCCAAAACTAACCGTTTACTAAACTGATATATTCATTATTTAATATATATTTTACAAAGATCACAAAAAGACTAGTTATGCATCCTTTGGATTTTCAGTTCTTTAGGCCAATGTACACAAAAAAAAGGGATTTGAACATTCCCCTTAGTGAATGTGCATTAATAACATGTCAACTGGAATCTGATTTGTTACCATAGACAACCCTTTAGGGCTCAGTCACACCATGGTGCAGCACTGTCAGTTTTTCTGCACGTGTTCTGCAAGGGCACAACAAAATCAATTGTTCTCTATGTGCCCTTCTCACACCACAATACTAGTATCATTTGCAGATTTTTTTCTGTGCAGGAATCTGCAACGTGTATAAAACTAATTGAAGCACGAATGAAAACCGATGCCTCTGCAAGTGAAATCTGCACGTCAGTTTCCATCAGTTTATCTGCACATATATGATGTGAATGAGGCCTTAGGGATTTCACTTGCATAGACATCAGTTTACATAAGTTTTACATCAGTTTACCTCTCTTTTCATGCATGTTGACATCAATTTTTATGAACATCTGTTATGTAGAGACTAACATCACATCCCGTGTCATCACCCCCCACCATCAGTGCCCCCTTATCTATCTCCTGCTATCAGTGTCCCCCACCCTCAGTGTCCCCCCCTCATCTGTCATGTCAGAGCTTACTGAGCTTCAAAGAGGGCAAATTGTTGGTGCCGCTTAGCTGGTGCCTCTGTGACTGAAGTTGCCAATTTATTTGCCGTATTGTGAGGTACCATATCAAAGGGTATGATGGCATATACAGTTTCCAGGAAAACGTTGTCTAATCAGCATAAGTGCAGTCAACATGACCGACTGGCTGAAAGAGACAAAAGGACATTGCACTGGATCATGACCTGGAATAAGAAAACAACTGCTACAAAAGTGACATCAGAGCTCAAATTTGGCTTGAGTTCAAGACTCAGGACCAACAATTTGCCATCTTTGAAACTCAGTAAGCTTTGACATGAGCTCAAATATCCCCCGCCATCAGTTTTCTCCCCATCTGTCCTCTGCAATCAATTCACTCCTCATCTGTCCACCACTATCATTGTCATCCACTATCGTTGTCCCCCCTCATCTGTCCACCACAATCAGTATACTAGTTATCTGTCCCCTGCTGTCCATGTCCACTCACTATCAGTGCCCCCCTTATCTGTTTTCCCCGCCATCAGTGCCCCCCCCCCCCACATCAGCTTTATCCTCAACTTTGCCCACCATTCTGTCCTCCTCATCAATGCCCATCATTCTGTGCCCCTCATCGTATACCGCCATTCTGTTACTGACATCTCTGCCCACATCTTTGTCCCCCTCCTCACATAATAGCATCTCGACCCCATCTCTGCCCCCTCTTCACACAATAACATCTCTGTCCCCCTCTTCACATAATAGCATCTCAGCCCCAATCCTTGTCCCCCTCTTCACATAAACGCATATCTGTCCCCTTCTTCACATAATAGCATCTCAGCCCCATCTCTGCCCTCCTCTTCACATAATAGCATCTATGTCCCCCTCTTCACATAATAGCATCTCAGCCTCATCTCTGCCCCCCTCTTAACATAATAGCATCTTTGTCCCCCTCTTCACATAATAGCATCTCTATTACCCTTTTCACATAATAGAATTTCGGCCCCATCTCTGTCCACCTCTCCACATAATAGCATCTCTGTCTCCATCTCTGCCCCACCTCTTCACATAAGAGCATCTCTGTCTCCCTCTTCACATAATAACATCTCAGCCCCATCTCTGCCCTCCTCTTCACATAATAGCATCTCTCTCCCCATCTTTGTCCCCCTCTTCACATAATATCATCTCTATCCCCTTTTTTAACATAATAGAATTTCAGCCCCATCTCTGCCCCCCTCTTCACATAATAGCATCTCTGTCTCCCTCTTCACATAATAGCATCTCAGCCCCATTTCTGTCCCCCTCTCCACATAATAGCATCTTTGTCCCCATCTTCACATAATAGCATCTCTGTCCCCCTCTTCACATAATATCATATCTGTTCCCATCTTCACATAATAGCATCTCAGCCCCATCTCTGCCCTCCTCTTCACATAATAGTATCTCAGTCCCATCTCTGCCCCCCTCTTCACATAATACCATCTCTGTCCCCATCTTTGTCCCCCTCTTCACATAATACCATCTCCGTCCCCCTATTCACATAATAGCATTTCAGCCACATCTCTGCCCCTCTCTTCACATAATATCATCTCTGTTTCCATCTCTGCCCCCCTCTTCACATAATAGCATCTCTGTCCCCCTCTTCACATATTAGCATCTCAGCCCCTTCTCTGTCTCCGTCTTCACATATTAGCATCTCTGATCCCATCTTTACATAATAGCATCTCTGTCCCCCTCTTCACATAATAGCATCTCTGTACCCATCCTCCCTTAATAGCATATCTGTCTGCATCTCTGTCCCCCTCTTCCCATAATAGCATCTCTGTCCCATCTCTGCTCCCCCTCTTCACATATTAGCATCTATGTCCTCATCTCTGCCCCCCTTTTCAAAAAATAACATTTCTGTCCCCTTCTCTGCCCACCTCTTCACATAATAGCATCTCAGCCCCATCTCTGCCCTCTTCACATAATAGCATCTCTGTCCCCATCTCTGACCCCCTCTTCACATAATAGCATTTCTGTCTCCATCACTGCCCCCTCTTCACATAATAATATCTATGTATCCCTCTTCACATAATAGCATCTCAGCCC